ACCCAGGCCCAGCTCCCCACCTGGGACTGCTCCATCACACGTCACAGTGACTGACGCCTGTCACCTACTAGAATTCCTACCACAACATCATGACACCTACTAGGATTCCTCCTCCTGGCCTCACCATCTCATAGCTTGAGCAAACTCAGGTTCAGTCCCAGTGACTCCCAAGCCAGATCTCCACCCCCTGTCCTGCCTAGCTCCCTATCCTGCTGGTGCCCTGGGTCCATAATTGTCCGCATCTCAGGGCCCCACAGGAGTCTTAAGTCTTGCTCCTGCTACACCTGCCAGCTCCCCAGCCACCAAAAGGGGTCCCAGCATTTCCCGGTAGCCCCGGCTCACACACAGATGTGTCAAGTAGCAAATTATGTCCCTGTCAAAGGAAAACTGGTTTGTGACATCTTGGTATATCAGTACTCTAAGTTCACACCACCTGGTAAAGTTTGAGTTGGTATTATGAATGTCTCATAAAATCAGCCAACAGGAACCTTAAATACATATAAGAACTCATGGTATATTTTTATAATTTCTAAAATACTAGAAAATAGATGTTAAAAAAATAGACTTAAGGTAGCTATTGTTTCTAAAGCTTGTCAAGTTTGGAAAACACATCAGCAGCTCTAACTGCAAAACCAGCTGGGAGTATTGTGTTTATTTCAGGAATCCATGGGCCTACCTGAGTATTACTAAGTATGAAGGGAGGTCTGAGATTGGGCAACAGCGGGCTGTGTGTCGACAAATACGAACCACACCAACTCCTAAGTGATTGGAAGGGAGGCCAGCATTGTGGTGCAGTGGATTAAGCCACTGTCTGCAATGCTAACCACCCATTCAAGCACCAGTTACGATCCATGCTAATTTGGTTCCAAACCAGCTTCCCGCTAATGAGCCTGTGAAAGCAGTGAAAGATGGCCCAAGTGCTTGGGCTCTGGCCACCCACCTGGGAGGCACCAGCATGGAGCCTGTGGCTCCTAGCATCAGCCTAGCTCAGGCCTGTTCATTGTGGCCATTGGGGAGTGGAAGACCTCTGTGTATGGCTGTAACTCTCAAACAACAACAAACAAATCTTCTAAAACTTGAGGACAAAATTCATATCTTGACATACAGATGTTTAGAAGCATAAAATGCTGACTGTAACCTGGAGCAGGGATGAGATGGCGTAGGACAGACAGGTGGGACAAGGTTCAAGGGCAGCGGGGCCTGCAGTCACCCCCCTGGGTGACACTCATTAAGATAAAAGGCTGACTTACAAGCACGTGATGTTGTGATTGTCCTCTTTCAAATCAAAAGCCACATCAAATCTCCTTCTGGGAAGAGATCTGTGTGTGACCCCGTGGCCCTCTGGGACCTGAGCTGTGTGAGTTATTTCAGAGTCAGGAGGAGGGGAAGGCATTTCTCCTTGCCTCTCGCTGAGCAACAGTCATGTTAGCAGTGAGAAACCCCTTGCGACCCCAGGCAGAAAATGGACGCAGCCACAACATCCACAGAACAGAGGGCTTAACCAAAAGACAACTCGAAGGACTACCAGTGCAACTCCTCTGTGTGATTCTAGAACAAGAATCGAGATGAACGCAGAAGTGGATTCACAAGTGTGCCTGAGATCTGGGCTATCAATGGCAGTCTTGTTGTGAAAAAGATGGGAGGGAACATCATCATCCAGCAATTGCAAGGGGACAAATTGTGGTGTCATCATTCAGCGAACTTCTCACTCTTCTGGCTGGCAGCAAAAGCCAATAAGCTACATTTGTCTCTATTGTGCTGCAGAATAATGATACTGAGTGAAAACAAGGCATGTTGTAGCAAGAAAGATGTGGGCATTTAAAAACCAAATAAAGAATAATATACTTTTGGGGCTGGCACAGTGGCTCAACAAGCTAATCTAACATCAACATCAAAATGGGCACCGGTTTCAAACTTGGCTGCTTTACTTCCAATCCAGCTCCCTGCTACTGCTCCCTGGGAAAGCAGCAGAGGATGGTCCAAGTCCTTGGGCCCCTGACTCCACATGGGAAACCTGGAAGAAGCTTCTGGCTTTTGGCTTTGGATCAGCTCAGCTCTAGTCTTTGCAGCCATTTGGGGAGCAAGCCAGCAGATGGAAGAGTTCTCTCTCTCTCTGTCTCTCTCTCTCTGTAAATCTGCCTTTCAAATAAAAAAAAAATCTTTAACAAAAGAAGCAATATACTTTTAAATGGACCTAAATGCATAGTTTAACATTCATGGCCGTGGTTGTCTTCCGGATGGAGGGGGTTAGGACTGGGAAGTCAGACTATAGGACATTTAAATTTATTTGTACTGTCCTCGTGATTTCATTAAGGGATGGTTGAGCCTACAAGAAAGTAGTCATGGGCCCGGCGCGGTGGCGCAAGTGGTTAAAGGTCCTCACCTTGCATGCCCGGGATCCCATATGGGCGCCGGTTCTAATCCCGGCAGCCCCGCTTCCCTTCCAGCTCCCTGCCTGTGGCCTGGGAAAGCAGTCGAGGACGGCCCAAAGCTTTGGGAACCTGCACCTGCGTGGGAGACCCGGAAGAGGCTCCTGGCTTCGGATCGGCATAGTATCGGCCCGTTGCGCTCACTTGGGGAGTGAATCATCGGACGGAAGATCTTCCTCTCTGTCTCTCCTCTCTGTATATCCTGCCTTTCCAATAAAAAAATAATAAAAATAAATCTTTAAAAAAAAAAAAGAAAGTAGTCACTTTAATCACTTATTAGGGAAGTGTATATTAAAGCCAAACAATGAAGAGGAGGAGGAAGACGGGTGGGCGGAGGACTGTCAGGAGAATGGCTGAAATGAACAAATTGAATTGCATCATGTGTTCACACGGATATGGAGAGACTGCACCTCAAACCCTCATGTTCATTGTAAAACTGGAAGTGTCTTTGAAAACGGAACATATGCCCATCTTGTGATGCTGAAATTCCATTTCTGGGTACAAACTCAAGAAAGATGAGGATGTCAACTGGAGAAATCCGTAAAGACGCTTTCTGCTTGCCAATGACCCAACATAATCACAAAAGTTTTGTTACTGTACTCCTAAAAGTAATACGTCAAAGATTCTTAACCATGTACACAAGGAGACAGATACAAGAAAAGTCACAAGCAACGAACAACTCAAACGTTCACCTCCTGCGGTGACGTGGGAGAACCCATGGTATTACGTGAAGCCAGGAAGGCAGCAATGAGAGAATACAGGTGTCATGGTTTTGTTTAATGAGTTGTAGAGGAGGAGAAAGCAATTCTTGGTGACAGAATCCAGCAGAGTAGTTAGGAACGAGTGCTATTGGTCAGACAATGGTGTAGGGGCTCTGCTAGCAAGATGATAACACACGTGTAAACATGGGACATAAAAACTTTACCAAACTAAATAGTCAAGGTTTGTATACTTCCTTTACCTAGTGTTATTATCTAATCCTCTAATAAAATACACTCACAATGAGGAGAGAGTGAGGGCAGTAGTAAACTGGCACCCATACCAGAGGAGGGAGCACCTGAATCTGGGTCCTCTCGCCCAGCAGGTTCCCCTACAGTGGAAATGTGGTTGACAAGAGCCAAACAACCTTCCAGCGCTGGGTGCTAGAAAGTGGAGCTGTTTCTAGACGCATTGGCAGATGAGCTAGACTCTAGCCGAGAGGAACCTGGAACCATCAGGACAGAACCGGGCAGGGGGTCTACCTCCTTGCATCTCGGCCTCAGCTCCCAGACTGACTACTGCCCCGTTGGCCACAGAGCATCACCAGAAGGTATCAGGGGCAAGCAGAAGAGGAGGAGGGGAAGAGGAGAAACAGCAAAGGCCGAGGGAGATGGAGAGATGAGGAAGCAACAGACTGGCAGGTGCCAGGCTTAGCTGCCTCCCGCCTTCTCTCAGTTGTTTGGGTCCCCCACCCTACTAAGCACTAAACGGTGCAAGCAGGGTGTGGTGGAGCCCAAAGTGGCTCAGAAACCAGACAGACCTGTTGTTCTGTACCCCACGCAACTGGTAAACTTCTGGACCGGTGTGTGCCTTGGCAGTAGGCCTTGCTCTCCCGGCTGCACTGGGTGCAGGAACCAGGAACCGGTGCCTGTCTGGGCCCTCCATAACCCAGGTAGGCTCTCCGAGGCCAGCCTGGGGTTAGGAGGGACCCAAGATCCTCGCAGCGCTAACGGCAACTGGATGCTGGCCACGTGTCACTGGAGACATTGCTAATGCAAACTGGATACGAACGGCTCCTCGTGTTCACCTAAATGACCATCCGGGGAAAGTGGCAGCTAGGTTGGGCCGCATGACACCTAGGACGCTTGCTGTGGCGTGTCGGTGCAGGCTGCATGGCGTGTAAGCAGTTACTTCCTCACTGCTCAAGCACAAATCTCTCCTGAATGAAGTAGGGGCTGGCTGGAATCCCTGCGCTCTGGGACAGGAACAGTGGCTCATCCTGCCCCCCTTGTGTCCCGTGGGCCCCATAGCCTCTTAAGTCCACAGTGGAATCGGGTGGGAAGTGGGGTGGTATGGCGGTTGGGGACCCGAACTCCACTCCAGCTCTCCCACGCAGGCTGTCGGTTCCCCACTGCCCCCACCCCGACTTCCCCCGACAAGCCCGGGGTTGGGGACCGTAGGGCTGCACTTCTTTCCACCCACACTTTGACTGGGGAAACTGAAGCTCGCGGAGGGTCGGAGCTGCTTCCAGGTGCCGGGTGGCTTCCCTGGGCGCAGGCTCAACTCCCTCATCTGTGAAATGGGCTTGATTGCAGATCGCGCGGCGGGAAGCGGCAGAGCCTTTGGGGCTGTGGTGACGCCCAAGCCACTTCCGCGGGACGGGTAGTCAGGGCGCAAGGAGCCAGAGGCGGGTAAATATTTGGGGCGGTCACCGGGCTGCCAGGCTCCGTGGTTCCCGGCGGGCGCGTGGCGGGGCGGAGCCCGGGGTCCGGGGGCGTCCCCGAGGGCGGTGGGGACAGACCCGCGGTCCCGCCCCGCGCGCGGCTATAAGAGGGCGGCGCCGACGGGCGGCGGGCGTGCAGCGCGAGCACCGGGCCCAGCGCACCGGCAGATCGGAGCGCGCCGCCAGCCACCCCGGAGCCCTCGGCCTCGCTCGGCGTCCCCGGCTCGCAGCACTCAGCCATGAAGCCGCCCACGGCACAGGGCAGCTCCGCGGCCGCCGTGGCAGCAGGTGAGTGCGACCATCCCGAGGGTTCCTTAGAGCTCCACTTTGCGGGTAGGACAAGAGAGGGATCGAGTCTCCACCTTAACCTGCGCGCCCTTCGATCTTCCCCCGGCCCGGGACCTGCTCCAGCTTCACCCGCGCCTTCCGGGTGCTACCGTCTTCCCAAGCAGGGCTGGGGATCCGAGCCGGGCTGTCCGGGCGCATCTCGCCCCCATCTCCCCGCCGCCTCCAAGCCCGCCCGCGTCCCAAACAGCGAGCGCCAGGACGGGCAGGCGGCATGGCCGGAGGGACGGTGGCTGGCTCCCCTGGCTCAGGCTCAGTTTCCTTATCTGTAAAATGGGTTTGATAGTAGAACACGCTTTGGAGGGCGGTCGGTTGAGAAGGCAGTGAGAGGCAGCGGCTGCTCTCGGGCAGGGCCACGACCCCTCCTGGAGGATCCGAGGAGAGACCGCCGCTCCTCTCACCCTGACCCCGGTAACCAGCCCGCCGCTCCCCTGTCTCCAGCCCCGGCTTTGGACTCGGCGGCCGCCGCCGACCTGACGGACGCGCTGTGCGAGTTTGACGCGGTGCTGGCTGACTTCGCGTCGCCCTTCCACGAGCGCCACTTCCACTACGAGGAGCACCTGGAGCGCATGAAGCGGCGCAGCAGCGCCAGCGTCAGCGACAGCAGTGGCTTCAGCGACACAGAGAGTAAGGATTTGGCCTCGCTTTGCCTCTCTGGAAGCCGGGAGGGCAGCGGTGACAGGGTCTCTGGGAGGAGAGGGAGAGTAGACCCGGGAAGGCTCTTTGGGGCCAAGTTGGATCAACTGTCACCTGCAGGAGTCCCGGGACTAGCTCTTTCCCTCCCTCACCTCTCCCCATGAATGTGTGGAACAAGTGCCACAGGAATGGGACGGACACAGCCCTGACCCGTTTATGAAACCAGGCGCTATTTCCTAAGCTGTTCTTCTTGGAATTTTTGAAATAACTTGGTGCACTTTCTTCTGGCCTCGAGCTCCCAGACTCTCTTGCCCCATGGCATGCGGTTTGGAAAGAGGCTCTGGTGGTGGGAGGTTCAGCCACAGTCATATAGAAAGGGCCCTTGTGCTTGCAGGCAGCCGAGGCGCGCACCCAGGTGGGAAGGCAGATGGGCCGGGGGTGGGGTGACCTTTCTCACACTGGAAGCTACTGGAGAGGCTCTTGGCCCTCAGCAACCTTGCAAAAACAAAACAAAACAAACCAGCTCTTACAGGAAGTCCAATGTCCTGAAAGAAGAGATAACCTGTTAACAGTGTCAAACAGCGAATTTGGCAAATCCTAAGCATCTGCTTTTCACATCCTGGATTGTTCACTGTTTTTCCAAGGCCTTTTAAAATTCTCCCAGGCGATTCTGGGGTCCCTAATTTCCAGGTAGCTTACACACAACCCTAGACTCTGGATTTCCCTGGTTTTGCAACCTGGAACTCTTCTCTGTTACCAGCGAGGATCAGAGCCGCATCCCTGGGAGGGTACTGAAGAGGCTCGCCGCCCCGCTTGGGGTTGGAGTCCAAAACCTAAATTCACCTGGGTTTCCTTGGCAGCCCAGCCAGAGCAATGGAGCACGCTGTGGCTTTGGGGGTGGGAGAGATGGGCCTGGGATCCTGAGGAGCACAACGGCCCTTTTCTATGTCCCAAGATGCCTTACCGTTTTTGGAATTGGTCTCAATACCAATCAGTGGCCAAAGGGAAAATCTATCTGCTTCTCCCGTGGCTTGGAGCAAGTGGTCCATCAAATGCAAAGTCTCTTGGGAGCAGGGAAAGCAAGCCGAGAGGTTCTGTCACTGCTGCTTTATGGCCAACAACCGCTCCCTCTTCCAAACCACAGCCCCATTCAGCCAGGCGACAGCAGAGCAGGCCCATGTGGGGCTGGGAGCAGCTTCCCTGGGTGGGATTTCAGAGCGGGGATCTGTTTTCAGAGGGTTGGGATAGGAGGCACTAGAAAAGCTTTCCTAGCAGTTTAAGGGGAGATGTGGGTTGAGGGAGCCTGCAGGGTTTTTTTTCCCTTAGGGTGTATGAGTGTATTTTTCTTTCTGCTTTTGTTAACTGTTAAACTAACCCTGGGCTTGGTGGTTAGAGGAGTCCTGGGTGAGGTATAAAGAAGGCTCAGATGACGTCTGTCTTTAAATATACAGTCTGCCTCTGACACGACTGGGTAGAAAAGTCTTGGCAGGAGCTGTGTGTGTCCCGAACGCAGACTTAAGGATGCCTACAACATACTTGTTGACTGCTGCCAGGAGCTGTGCACATATTTGTTACAGTCTTGTATCCGCCTAATGCTTTTCTGCGGAAGAATGTGCTTGAGAGACATCAAGTCTCCCCCCACGGAGCTCCCTGAGGGCGGACCACGGTAATGGGAGGGACAGCAGCCCGCTTCTGCCCCAGCCAGTGGTGTGGCGTCGCCACTGTGACTTGTTCTCTGTGACTTAGTGATCTCTGCTGTTCCCAGGAGGTTCTGTCGGGTCCCTCCCGCAGTCCTTTCTGATCAGCACTGTTCTCTCCTTCTTTCTGACAACGCAGCAGAAGCTCACGGGCTTTCTCTCCAAGGCTTTACTTTTTCACTGTGGATGTCTGGCTGGAGTGGGATCCGGGGCCTCGGCTGTAGGCTGATATCCTGTTCTTGCAGATCTCAGATGTGCTGACGGAGGCTGGTTATGTCTGAAGGTGTCTCTTTGCAGCGGTGGTCTGAGCCCTGTCATGGTCCTGCATGATGGGGGGACCCGGGCTTGTCTAGCTTGTACAATGGGAAGGATGCCACCTGAAGCGCTGTCAGAAACACCTTGAAGCTCATGACTGGGAAGAAAGAATTTGGTCTGTCTGATGCTTTTGAGAATGTGAATGCTCACACTGGGGTCTGATGTTGATCCAGTGCCGACAGGAGAGTATTTGGTGAGAAGCTGGGGCCCCCAATGTGCCACGTGCTCCAGCTGTTCAAGGCAGATCAAAACGGTATTCTTAATTTGGGAAGAACATTTCTGTATCTCATTTAAGAGCTAAAGTTAAGGTCGCTTGATTTTAAAGCATAGAGACAATTTCATTAGAAAAGAATGGGTGTTCAATGAGGAGAGGACCCTTCCTGTATGCACTTGCAAGCACACCTGGTGGAGAGGACCAAGGTAGCCAGGGAAGGTGCTTCACCCAAGGACTGGGATGGCGTGGCAGTGGAGAGAAGGAGTGCTCCTGTTGTGTAGATGTGCATTCTAACAGGTAACATCAGATTCCCCAGCAGATAATATTTCAGCATCCACAGTGGAAGGGTGATGCAGTTAGGAGCTCAGGGAGTTTTCCAAGTGTGGTCCTTTGAGGCGTTTTAGAAATGGTGAGTATCTTTGTTTTGAATTTATTCTTATACTATATTTTTTTTCAGGATTTTCTAAACTATAAACTCACATCTAGATTCTTACATATTCTCACTGATTGGCTTTATGAAAAGTTTATGACACTCAAACTTTACCAGGTGGTGTGAACTTAGAGTGCTGATGTACCAAGATGTCACAAACCAGTTTTCCTTTGACAGGGACATAATTTGCTACTTGACACATCTGTGTGTGTGAGCCGGGGCTACTGGGAGATGCTGGGAAATGCTGGGACCCCTTTTGGTGGCTGGGAAGCTGGCAGGTGTAGCAGGAGCAAGACTTAAGACTCCTGTGGGGCCCTGAGATGCGGACAATTATGGACGCAGAGCACCAGCAGGATAGGGAGCTAGGCAGGACAGGGGGTGGAGATCTGGCTTGGGAGTCACTGGGACTGAACCTGAGTTTGCTCAAGCTATGAGATGGTGAGGCCAGGAGGAGGAATCCTAGTAGGTGACAGATGTCAGTCACTGTGACGTGTGATGGAGCAGTCCCAGGTGGGGAGCTGGGCCTGGGTGGGGACAGGGAGAAGAGAGGTTTGTGTCATTTCACTGTCACCCTGTGCTGCATGCCGCCTCCTTGCTCCCCACCATCACCTGTGGTCAGAGACCCAGGTTCCAGGCTTTGTCTTTGTCCATGAATTACTGTAGTTTGCTTGCTTTGAGTGTAAGGGATTGTTCTATCTTTATGGGAGTTCTGGCCAAGGTTTACTGCCTGTGGTTTTCCTGTCAGTGCTAACCCTAAATTACCTTTCTCCCAACCTTCCAGACTGGGGGAAAGAGAGAGGAGAGAGAAGAAAACACAATCCCTACCTTTTATACAAGCCTCTGTTTTTCTAGCTAAGTTTCTGCAGCTCATTTAGTGCTCCTGAAGTTAGAAGCTTACACATTCAACATGCTTTCCCCCCCACCCCCCTTGGATGGCATTTTAGAAAACCTGGTCCCAGCATTTGAAATTCTTAGTGGCAGTACATCAAGGGGCCTTTTCCAAGGATGTTCCCAAGTGGGATGTGAGCTGCTTGCAAGACAGGGCTTCAGGGTTGCCTGAAGCAGAAGTTTTAAGGCCCTGAAATATGTAACCTCACCACCTGCCCAGGATCCCCAAATCATCACTGTTAAGAGTCCCCCGAGTCCCTGTGAATAGCAGTATGTGGTACTGGGGTGGTCGATAATGCAGTACTGTGCTATCAGCTGATGACACACCACTGTTTTATCAGACAAATCAGCCATAACTCAGCCAGGCACAGAAATCCAGGGACGTGGGAAGGGCCAGGTTGAACCCCTGCTCACCCATTCATCTACTCTGTGCCCCTGTGAGAGTTTGCTCACTGCAGTTTGTTAATGAGATTTCATGGAAAGATGGTCTACTGGGGAAAAGGATGCAGAGGAGTGAGGGTTGGGGCTCTGTGTTGGAGCTCCTTTCTGGGGATGCAGGTTCTGGGGAGTGCCTGTGGAGAGGAGCTTCAGTGCTGCGCTACCGTGGGAGGGAGAGGAACAAACCTGGGCCCCAGCCTTGATGCTGTGGCTGTTCCATGACGTTTCCACTCTCCTGGTCCTTCTGCCCTTCCCTCTTGCTGGGGACTTGAGGATACATGGGTAGACCCACAGGCATCACACAACAGGTGCCAGAGTGATTTTTCTCCTTAGAGTCAGGAACTTACACAGGGCCACATGGCCCTCTCTTGGCCATTTTGCTGTGCAGCAAGACACAGCCCGGGGGAGGAGGCAGGAACTCACTGCTTTTGCACGTGTCATGAATGACATGGGTACCACATCACAGCAGGGGCTGGTGCAACATGCTGGGTGGTTCATTTCCTCTTGATGGTTGAAGGTTATGCAGTTTGGAACCTGGACTCGGGTCTGCCCTGGGCTGTGCACGTTCTGGAAGGAGAGCGCAGAAGGAACCTGGCAGCAAGCCAGGGTGTGTGCTGGGTGTGTGTGTGTGGCTGGGGGCAGGGAGGAGGGAAGTGAGCAGACGCCGTGTTGGCGTGTCTCTGTGCATGTTTATATATAGATATTGTAACTGGTGTTTTTCGCTCTTCTTCCCTCCTTGTGGAAGTAGCATGCGTTCATTAGCAGCGGGATAGTCGCTGAGGGTTTGTAGCTGTCTGTATCTGTCAAGGAGAAGTCAGTTTGTTTATATTTTCTGACTTTGGGGAAAGTGCTTGTATTGAGGAGGCATTTGGGCTCCACAGGCTCAGGGTGGATTGTGCTGTTAGCCACAGTGGTGGCTCATGCTTGTTCCCACAGTTTCCCCAAGCCACCTGAGCCTCCTCAAGCTCATCCTGAGTCTCATCACATTGTCTTTTTGCTGCCATCTTTCCCACCACCTGTAAGGGTCCTTTTTTTTTTCTTTTAATGGATTTATTTATTTATTTATTTACTTGAAAGAGTTATGTAGAGATACAGAGAGGGAGAACAACTTGCTGGTTCACTCCCCAGATGGCAGCAATGCCTGGGGCTGGGCCAGGCTAAAGCCAGAAGCCTCTTCTGAGGCTCCTATATTGGTACAGGGGCCCAAATGTTTGAGCCATTTTTTTCTGTTGCTTTCCCAGGAGCATTAGCAGGGAGCTGGATTGAAAGTGGAGTAGCCAGGACTTGAACAGGCACTTGTATGGGATGCTGCCATCACAGGCGGTGGTTTTACCTGCTGTGCCTCAACACCAGTCCCTGCATGGGCCTTTTCTATGTCTACACTGCTCCTTTCTTGAAAATGCACCAGTGTTTCATCCACTTGTGTGAGGTAAACAGAGGGTGTGCACACATGGCTGTCCAATTTCCCTGTAGTAGGAGACGCCCTACTGGCGTGGGAGAGGTGTGGCATGGGAGCTCGCTCCAGGTGCCCACTGCCTTCCGGAGATAGAGACCAGGGGTGGCCCCAGAGTTCAGAAGCAGCTTTTGGTGGGCGGGGGCCTATGCTCCCAGTGTCCTTTAGAGCCTGAGATAAGGTGCCAAGGACGTGTCCCTTCCTTCTGGCTGGTAACCGGCTTCACGTGACTCCTTGGTCTGCCCTCACCTTATCTCACCTCCTCATGCTTGGCAAGTCCCGTGGTTACCGTGGGGTGACAGGCAGGAGCACTCATCGTGCATCTGTGCCAGGCACGACCCCTGCCCTGTGTGTGGGGTAGGAGTTTTCCATAAATAAAAAGTCTTAAGGCTCAGTATTTCAGCATTGCTAAAGTCCTGAAACCCCACAGTGATCCTTTTAGGGGGCCTTAGCTGGAGTGGGTCCCGGGGAGCCTGGAGGAAAGCAGACAAGCTACAATGTAGGCCAGGAAGCCACCCTAAAGTGGGGGGCCATCCACTCTGCTTTTTGGGACCAAGACAGATTGTCTCTGGAACAAAAAATTTTATGTGCGAAAGCCTTGCTGCCTATCACATAGTGCACAGGTGGTTTCGGTGACTTAGGCCAGCCACTGCAGCTCAGGAGGGCCCAACGGCACATGGGCTCTAGTGCTGGAATGCCTGGGAGCAGTGGGGGGGCCTGGCCTCACCTAGAGAACTTGCTAATGCTCTTGGGTCACTGGCAAGCTCTCCAGAGTCGCATTCCCGTGGCTGGCTTGGGGCTCTGCTAAAGCCGGTTCCCCTCGCAACCCTAGTGGCCACATCCTGCTTCCGCTGCCTGCTGCCTGGGGCCCTTTGTGTGTGGCTCAGCTGGCAGCACTCTGCATGGCGGCTGCACCATGGGGCTGTCCCTGGGTTGCTTTCCTTCTCTTGGTGCTATTCAAGAGAAAAAGAGTCTCAGAGTATCTGAGCTGGGAGGGATCTGCGTGGATATTCTGTCTACTTGTACATTGTTTGGCTGGCTAAGCTGTGGCCTGAAGATACTGTCTTGCTCAAGGACATCCGAGGGCTGCTGGTTTTAACCCAGGATCTTGGCTTGCTATCATTCTGGTCTTGGGCAATATCAGAGCAGAAGGAGTGGCAAAATCCCTCGAAGTGACTAATACAAGGGTACAGCAGACAGTTCATGTGAAAAGAAAATTGAGAAAAGTTTAGAGGGCCAGCTCAGTGATAGAGCAGGCCAATCCTCTGCCTGTGGTGCTGGCATCCCATATGGATGCCACTTGTGATAGTGCTCCCTGCTTGTGACCTTGGGAAACTGCAGAGGATGGCTCAAGTCCTTGGGCACCTGCACCCATGTGGGAGACTGAGAGAGGAAGCTCCTGGCTCACAACGTTGGACTGGCCCAGCTCTGGCTCTTGTGCCCTTCTGGGGAGCAAACCAGCAGAAGAAGGATCTCTCTCTCTTTGTCCCTCTCTTTGTAACTCTTTCAAATAAAGGGATTTTTTTAAAGGATAAAATTTTGGTGCTGTGATAGCAGCACCGCCTGGGCTTCCTGCATGCCAGGCTCTAGTGCTGGCTTCCTGCTCAGGCACACCCTGAGCAGGCTGCAGGTGATGGCTCATTTCCTTGGGTCACCGCCCATCCTTGGTGGGAGCTCCAGGTGGAATTCTGAGCTCCTGGCTTCAGCCTGGCCCAGTCCTGGCTGTTGCAGACATTTGCGGGGAGTGAACTAGCAGATGGAAGATCCCTGTCTCATTTCTCTGTGTCTCTGTGTCTCTTTGTCTTTCACATCAATGAAAATATATTCCTTAAATCAGGAGAATCAAATCTCACTGCCGTCATGAAGCAGCAGTTGGGTCGGCTGTGCCTTCGATGCTGCCTGGTAGGCACAGGTGTGCTGGCAGGGAGTCTGGGCGGGTTGTGCAGGACTTGCGTGTGCTTGGTCAGTGACATGTGTGTATGTGTACACTCCCCAGTCTCAAGTCATTTGGGAGCAGAAAGATGCAAGGCAGAGCCTCCTGGGTGTTCTTGACTGTAGAATGTGCAGCTTTTGCTGCTTTCAGAGCCGGCACCTGCTGGCTCACAGCCGAGCATGACTGCCAAGTGTGTCTGCTCTTGCGTGCTCCCTCTAACGAGTGCGTTCTCTTTGCTCAAAAGGTGCAGATTCGCTGTACAGGAACAGCTTCAGCTTCAGTGACGAAAAGCTGAATTCCCCGACAGACGCCGGCCCCGCCCCGCTCTCTCCCACTGTCCCTCCTCGGAGAGGTAAGCTCCTAAGTTGGAATGTGAGGTTTTCTTTTTTTTTTTTTTTTTAATTTGTTTCCCCTTTTGCTGGCCAGTCTTTCCCACATGTGCAAAGCAAACAGATAAGAATTTGTTATTTCTCAAGATTTCTGCCCAGTGCGAAAATGAAACCAGACTGCTTGGGGACAGACGACCTGAATCGCCAGGGCGAAATAGGCCTGGCAGGCTCTAGATTGTTCTTTCTTATGTGTGGTCATCACCCCTGTGCCAAGTGACAGAACTTCTCAGGGTTCCTTCCACCCTGATGGGTTCTAGAATTGAAAACAAGCTGCTCTGCTGGGAGTGGATTTGTTTTTAGAATTTCATTTTTATTGTATTAGGGATCTAGCCAATTGCTTGGAGGTGACCGATTTAGCCATTGGCTGGGGCGGTCATTGTGATTCAAGTAGTGATCCAACACAAGTCCAAATAGGAGCTCCTACTTGTCTCTGCTGTGATATTCTTAGACCCAAAAAGGTTTTAACGATGCACGAGCAGTTTCTTGGTTTTTCAAAGGGGCCAAGTGTTTACGGCCAGAGAGCTGAATGTTCTGCTGTGCTGGACAAGCGCCCTTTTGAAAACAAAAGGAAGGTTTTCTTTTCTTTTTTTTTTTCCCTTAGAAAGTTATACTTGCTAAAAATAATTGCAGAATGCAATAAAAATGGAACATCCTTTAAAAAAAAGAAATATGCAGATTCCATTGGTTTTTTTTACTCTTGCATTAAGACAGAACCTCTGTTTTTCTCAAAAGAGACATTTTAAATTCTCCTGTCCACACAGCGCTCTGAGCAGCCAGAAGGAAGCCCGCTGCTTGCCAGGCTCCCTCATCTCCGGCAGCGGCTAGCGCTCTGGCCTTCGGAGGCAGCGCAGCCTGGAGAGTGCTGGAAGCTGTGCCTTGCTTGGCTCCCTGATCCTCCAGACCGAGGAATTAAAGAGGGCAGAGAACGTTTGGCATGGCAGACTGATTGGGATACCTACAAGGAGCCATTTATATGGGAGGGGGTTAAATTCATAAGAATATGCAGCCATGTGCTTCAGGAAAGGCACACATGATGGGTTATGGAGAATAGAGTAAGATGTGAAGGAAGAAACAGAAGCCTCTGTCACCTTCCCCTGGCCAGGGGTGGTGGCTTCATTTCCTGGCGCAGGAATTCTGAGGCCCACTGTTTTGTTTGGGAGGATGAAGCACGAATCTGTGACACAGCAGGCAGGTATGGCCAGCCATTCCATACCCTGCCAGGCCAACTACTTCTTATGGACAACTCAAATCCCAGGCACCTGGAACTCCATCCTCCCAACCCCCCCCCCCCCCCCCCCCCCCCGCTCTCATGGGGGAGGTTTGCAGAGGGTGGTGGGAGAAAGAGGGATTGACTTGGCATGGTAGCCTAGCAGCAAAAGTCCTTGCCTTAAACATGCCAGGATCCCATATGGGCACCAGGTCTAATCCCAATAGCCCCGCTTCCCATCTAGCTCCTGCTTGTGGCCTGGGAAAGCAGACGAGGACGGCCCAAAGCCTTGGGACCCTGCACCTGTGTGGGAGACCTGGAGGAGGCTCCGGCCTCCTGCCTTTGCATCAGTTTAGCTCTAACCATTGCAGCTGCTTGGGGAGTGAATCATTGGACGGAACATCTTCCTCTCCGTCTCTCCTCTCTGTATATTTGACTTTCCAATAAAAATAAAGTAAATCTTAAAAAAAAAAAGAGGGATTGAGGGGCTGGTGTGCTGGCTCAGTTGGCTAATCCTTTGCCTGCAAATGCCCACATTCTATTTGAAGGCCAATTCAAGTCCAGTCTGCTCTACTTCTAATCCAGCTTCTTACCTGTGGCCTGGGAAATTAGCAGAGGATGGGCCAAAGCCTCGGGCCCATACCCACATGGGAGACTGAGAAGATGCTGCTGGCTGGCTCCTGGCTTCAGATCAGCTCTCTGTACATTTGCCTTTTCAATAAAAATGAATAAGTCTTGAAAAAAAATAAAGAATGAGCGGTTGAGACCGGGTCTTTAGGAGTTGAAAAATTTCCTCTAGCTAAACAGAGAGGCAGGCACTGGGGATGGGTACCCTTCCATAGGAAACACCCATTCCCTGACCCTGGAAAACTCGACATGGGGTCTGGGGCTTTCATTGATATGGAAACTGAACTCTGCCCTCCTGTTTTACAGCCAAATTAGGAGACACAAAGGAGCTGGAAGACTTCATTGCCGATCTGGACAGAACATTAGCAAGTGAGTACACGCCTGGCATGGAAGGGTATCCAACAGAAAACCAACTGACGCCTCTGATGAAGTGTGGTCACACTCACCCACTTGCACAGGGTGGGGAGTTACATCATAAGGCTTCTTAAGGCTTCGAAACAGGGCCCCAAAGCTCGGGAAGAAAAACTGGAGGCTGAGCCCGCCTTGCAGCAGACTGTGGGCCCCTCTGAGCAGGCGGAGCAGGTCGCTGGTGAACAATGGCACTTTGTTCCGGAGCCGGGAGGGAGCGGCTTTCCCATGGTGCTGGCCTGCCAGGCTGTTCAGAGACCAAACGAGCCCCTTGATCACATCTGCCTCACTCCAACGAGCCAGGGGCTTCCATCCCAGGGGCCAGAGGAATTTCCCCAGCTGGGACTCAGAGACCTGGGGAAGCCTTAAGAACTGGGTGTTGATGGGGGAGACCTGGTCACCAAAGAGCCACGATGTTTACTAACTGGCCTGGATTAAACACACAGCAGGTGGGCATAACAGGAAGGGGTGATCAAGAATGTTGAGGAGTGAAGATCCTAACTGCAGTGGGTTTGGATGAAGGGCCCTGAACTACACATTTACATAATCTGCTTCAGAATAGAACCGAGAGCCAGGACAAGCAACTTGAGCTTCTGGTCCTTTCATTTTTCAAGGAAAGGGTTAATTTCTCCTAAGAAATACTCCTGCACTAGACTGTGCTAACTGGCTGGGTAAAATCCCAGAGTAGCTCCAATGGCACTTACTTAAGAATAACTCTTACCATTCTTTCAGTCAAACTTTAGGAACAGGGAGAAAGTTCCTGTTAACCCCCAGAGCTGCTTATTCCGTTTCTTATGTGCTGGGTCTTCCTCCAGCCAAAGCCCGAATCCTGTTTTGATCATAATGAGTTCAGTTGCAGCAGTTTGTGTCTGACCCATGGAATGAGCCCATCTGCATCATGGAAGTTGCGGGGAGCCGCCCTGTTGTGCCACTAATTCAGACACGCATGCGTGGGAGGCTTGCCATTAGCCGTGGGGCTTTGATGTGTGCGGCTGCGTAATGTGGTTAGAACTGAGGACTGGGGCGGGCGGCTAACCTTCCCTCTTCTTGTGAACAGGTATGTGAAGCAAGGAGTTCTGGCTCTCGTGTCATCAAAGAGGAGCGCCAGGGAGCCAGGAGAGCCTGGGAGAGCCAGCTCCAGGGACGGTGGCAGAGCGGGTGAGATGACTTCACCTCCAAGTCAGCCCTTGCACCCCTCTCCTGGCCCGGGTGAAACTGACTTTGTTTACCTGCTTGCAGCATGTTAGAACACTTGATCCAGCCTAATATTGTGTTTTAAAACATGGCTTTCCTATAACTTAAAGTGCTTTTATGAAAATATTTGTAATTAATTATATAGAGTTGGAAATAGTGATAAGCTTTTCCCATTATAATATATTTTTGTATACAAATAAAATTTGAACTGAAATCTGTTTTGTAAGCCTCCTTTTATTTTTGTTATTTTTCTAATTATATTTCAATTCAGATGATAGTTTTTTTTTTAAAGATCATGTTTTCCATTCACTGCTTCACTCCCCAATGTCCCTTACAGCCAGGGCTGCTAGCTGGAAGCCCAGGTCACCCACATGCACCACAGGAGGCCAATCACTTGAACGGCCTCGGCCTCGTAGGGTCTACGCTAGCAGGGAGCTGGAATCCAGCTCAGGGACTCTAAGGAAGACAGGGTAAAACAGCAATGATGCAAGGTGACCTTGGTGCTTGTGTCACGTGAAAGAAGAATTTCCACACGGGCAAGGCAGGGAGCAACTCAAGACTTGCTGAAGTCAGAAACCTGTTGCCAGTGCAGCATCCAGGGGTGGGACTCCAAGAGAGGAAAAGCTGTGATGTTTGAGTCTCTAAGCATAATTTTGGGGAAAAAACAGAACAGCAGAGGGTGGGGACAAAACCCACACAGAGGCTGGAACTGCCAGTCCCCTCTAGCCTACTCCTGTAAAACAGAAAATCCAGCAGAGTGGAGGCATGGGGGTGTTACTGAGAGGCGGAAAACTTACCACTATGTCCTTGCTATTTCTCTCTCTCTCTCTCTCTCTCTCTCTCTCTCTTTTTTTAAGATTTATATATTTTTATTGGAAAGTCAGATATACAAAGAGGAGCCACAGTGAGGAAGATCTTCTGTCTGATGGTTCACAGTGAGGAAGATCTTCTGTCTGATGGCTCACTCCCCAAGCAGCTGCCGTTGCTGAGCCAATCCGAAGCAGCTGCCAGAGCTGAGCCAATCCAAAGCTGGGAGCCTCTTCTGGGTCTCCCACACTGATGCAGGGTCCCAAGGCTTTGGGCCGTCCTTGACTGCTTTCCCAGGCTACAAGCAGGGAGCTGGATGGGAAGTGGAGATACCGGGATGAGAACCGGCGCCCATATGGGATCCTGGCATGTTTAGGGCGAGGACTTTAACCACTACGCTATCACGCCGGGCCCTGTCCTTGCTATTCTCATGAGAAACTGAGAGCAATAGGGTCTGCCCTTTGATCTTCCTGGAGGCAGGTACTGGGGAGAAGTGTGCATTTTGCACCCTCTTAAACAAATCCCCCCTTTCCTCATTCCTAGAGGACCCCCTCCCAACAGCCTGTTAGTCCATCTACCTCCTTACAGCAGCAGGAGCAACAGCCTCCTTCCAGCTGCCCTCCCCGACCATGCCCGATTTCACTGGATGAGAGCATGGCCGGCCTCAGAAAGCATTCAGAGCTCTAGCGGGAAAGACATGAGATGACTAACGGGAAATCTTGAGGACTGCGGTTTTGCTAGACGTCAGCTTTCTGTTTCTGCCCTCCTTCTATCTTGGCATTTTTGCAAGGATCATGGACTCTCAGTATACATTAAGGCAAAGATGAGGAGTATTTGAAATCCAGGACTTAGACATAAAGGCAATTGGGGCGGCTGGAGGAATTCAAAGCGATGATACTTTTGGAGAGTGCGTACAGTAAGAGTTGGCATGCTGGCCTTGGTGCCTGCCGTCCAGGTGACTTCAGTGGGGCCAGGCTCCAGGCGCAAGGCTGCTGATAGGAAGGCATTGCGGGCAGAAGCCAATGACCCAGACAGAGAGCAGACTTTCTCATTTATCCCTTCTGTCTGTAAAACCTCCTCCAAACCAAACAGGCATTATTATTATTATTATTATTATTACTATCAAGCTGCATTGCAGAGAGAGGGAGAGCCTAGAATCATCTTTGCTCCCGCAATGGTAAGTGGTAAGGGTTGGGCCAGGCAACTCAAGGAGCTAAGGGCTTCCTCCATGTTACCGACGTGGGTGCGCAGGCCATCCTCTGTTGCTTCCCCAGATGCGATAGGGAGCTCGACTGGAAGTGGAAAAACCAGGACATGAGTCAATGTTCACACTGGATACCAGTGTTGCAGGTATTATAACCTGTTATGCCAATACACTGGCTCCAATTTTCTTACTCATGATAAAGCTACTTAAAAACTAATCCAGACCTGGTGCGGTAGCCTAGCGGCCAAAGTTCTTGCCTTGCATGTGTCGGGATCGCATATGGGCAATGTCTCATGTCCCAGCAGCTCCACTTCCCATCCAGCTTCCTGTTTGTGGCTTGGGAAAGCAGTCAAAGACAGCACAAAGCCTTGGGACCCTATACCTACATGGGAGACCCAGAAGATGCTCCTGTGTCCTGGCTTTGGATTGGTTCAACTCTGCTGGTGTGGCTGCTTGGGGAGTGAATCAGCGGATGGGTGATCTTCTCCGTCTCTCCTCCTGTCTGTATATTTGACTTTCCAATAAAAACTGAATTAATTAACTTTTAAAAAATAAAATCTGTAATGCTTGTATCCCTAACTGCAAACAGCTTTGTCACGTGCTAACAATGTTTCTAGGGACAATTGGGTGCATCTGCAATGATCAACCTATAAATTATAGAGCTGAATGGCACTGCAGCCAAGGCAGGTAAAATTGCAGTGTGATGCTTTACTCACCTGCTAGAGGTGATTCCTGGGTCAACAAGCCTATCACACTGCCAGTCATACAAAATACGGCATGCAATATTTGGTCACAAAAATAAAATATGTAAACAACTTACTGTCTTTTCGTGGTTTTAGATTGACTATGGAACAGTGTGCTGTGTTAACGCCAGCAGCGATCTCCCACATCTTGGATTTACCTCATCCCTTGGTCGATCATCGATCGCACCAAGAGGTCATGCCCAATTGTTGGAGTCTACCACCTATGTGTGTAGGTTCACACAGCAAAATCCCCTGCTGTTGGATTTCTCAGAATGCGGTGGTCATTATTAAGTGACATATGACTGTCCTTACAAGCTTACTTGTTTCTTCAAAAGCCAGCAATTAGGTTTCCTTTGTGTTTTAGTGACCTTGTTGAAAATCAACTGACTGCAATACGCAGGTTTCTTTAGGGCTTCCTCCGCTCTAGCCCACGGATCCATGCCTGATTCCATCATGGTTCTGAATAATCTCGGCAACTGCAGCTTTGTGGGAGGTGCAGGACTGGGAAGTGTGAGTCTTGCAACTATCCTTCTTTCACAAGATGAATTTGGCTGTTCTGGGTCTCTTGCATCTCCACATTTTGGTATCAACTTGTCAGTTTTGGCTAAAGAGGTAGAACGATTTTCGTAGGGCTTTCTTTGGGGGATTGCTGCCACCGTAACGGCTTGTTTACCTTGGAATTTGTGAACATTCAGTGCCTTTCAAGTACTTAGATCATTTAGAATTTCTTCCATTTATGGTTCACGGTTTTCACAGTATACATCTTACATGAATTTTGTTAAATTTATACATCTTGTATTCTTTTTGATACCACTATCAATGGAACAGTGCTCAGGCTGCGCATCAGCAGGGAGCTGGACTCAGAAGCTGACCTGGAACTTGAGCTCAACACTCCCATATGGGGGGATTAGGTGCCAGGTGTCCTGGGGTGCCCTAGCCACTGTTCTCAAGGCCTGGTTTCCTTGGCATGACATTTCCATTACTTGGACCTGACTTTTAGTTATTCTTGGAAGCCAGCACCTGCTTTGGATGAATCCCCCCTCATTGGGACATGAGTGGCTCATCATTGTCACTGTAACCTTTATTGCCAGCCTCTTCTGGAATTGAGGAGCTGACTGCCTGGGGCAGCTCTTATGAGCATCTGGGGTCCCAACTCCCAGTGAGGGCAGTGTGGTGGGTGCGGCTCCACAGCCTGGGGGAGGAGAAGGTCAGGGCTTTGGGGGAAAGAAACAGCCTCTTTCATGTGCATGTGTGGGAGGGCAGTTTGTACTGCATGAACCTCAGTGGATAATGACTTAAGGATAAGTAGGCGGGACCTGAGTCACAGCTCTGGAAACACTGAAAACATGTTTTATGAGTTTCTCAAGTAAGGAAAAAAATGTACTAAGGTCATTTATACTTTAAAAATGTAAGCTGCACATCTGTTGCTGTAGCAGAAGGAGGAGAACAGAACTGGATAGCTACCCCAAACGATGACAACAAAAAATCTAGGTGAATGGAGCCAACTGACATTGGGAGGGTGACATCATCCTTGGATCGGTGAAATCGACAGCATTCCAGAACTATCTAAACCACCTGGACAGAACCCTCGGAATACGTACACATTGAAACTCTGGGTTGATGTGAGGTGGTGGTTCCTCATTCATGGGTATTGGAACCTGGGGAAAGTCACGAGTGATTTCCAACTCCGTGTCTCCCCTTCCCCCAAGAACAACAAGAAGAAATAGCAAATTTGGAAGCAGCGCGTTCACTTGATTTTCCCTTAACCTTTATCATTCTACCATGATCAATCATGTAACCATTAATAAAAAATAAAATTAAGGGCCCTGCATGGTGGCCTAGCAGCTGAAGTCCTCATCTTGAACACGCCAGGATCCCATATGGGCACTGTTTCTGATCCCGGCAGCCTCACTTCCCATCCAGCTCCCTGCCTGTGGCCTGGGAGAGCAGATGAGGATGGCCCAAAGCCTTGGGACCCTGCCCCACATGCATGGGAGGGCACGACATCCAACCCAAAAGCCTAACGAACAATATAAAAAACCCGCAACACACACAACCACCCAGACCCCCCCCCCACCCCTAGAAGAGGTCCGGGTCTCGGTTGTTAGGAATCAGATCCGCTTGTGCGATCTTGTAGTGTGTGGACTCAGTCATTTTCAAACATTACTTTAAAATACTATTAATTCACCACCACCACCAAACCCCCCAACCCAACCGATACCATACACACACCCACTCTCATAAAATTAAAAAATTCTCACACTAACAAAATCATCATGACCTCTACCACCACATTATCACCCCCCCATATCCAAACAAAAACCCACCATTCTTATGTCCCTTCTTCATCAATATTAACCTATTATCAGTAATATATAACAAAATACAACACACTCTTCTCTTCTATACCTACTCTCACATCTAACAAACCCTATTCCCCACTCCTCCCACAAAAAATAA